AAAAAAAAAAAAAGAAAGTAACTATCACAAAGATTAAGAAGGGCTAATCTAATGATGATATAATTAGATCTAATGATGATATAATTCCTACTGCAAATGACTGTAACAGAAAAAAAAAGGAGAATACACATGCAAACACTGGATTGAAATTGAAAAGTTCTCTAACTCACAATGAAAATATATTACTTTACCTCGTGAACTGACAATGATAAAACAAAGTTTTCTATACTATTCAAATTGTGACTATTTAATCAAAATAATTTATATTTTCCTTTTCCTGGATTATTTGTGTTAATGATAAAATAATAAGCAGTTATAACAAACTATAATAAGAATTCATAATACTATCGGAAAATAATTATAAGTCTAAAGCAATCAAAAGCATGGCAAAAATGTTACCAATAGTTATGTCAAAGTAGATGGGATTACGGATATCTAATTTAATTCTGCATAATTTTCCACATGTTCCAAATGATCTTCTATGGGAACATTTTTCTTAAGAAATTTAAATTTCTTTTTAAGATATATTTATTTATGCATACAGAGCTGGGGTGCAGTCAGAAGTGAAGGGGTGGTGAGAGGATTCACCAAAGACAGAATAGGGAGCGAACAGTGAAGTACACTGCTGAAGGGGGCAGCAGGCGAGACAGGAAAGGTCTGCTGTGTCGTATGGGTCACCTCCCTGGCTGGGGTGAAGCGGCTGTAGTTAAGCTTCCTAGTACTGTGCTTTAATTCATTGTGCCACTAAGGAGGGCCTAGAAATTTAAAATTTTAAACATATACACACACCCTCAAGTAAACTGACAGTCAATACACATACCTGAAATTGAATTAGTGGATGATCACCAAACACATATTCTACTCTCCCACTGACTTGCAATACATATTCATCTGGTTTAACTTCATCTTCTTTCCCATGAATAGTCAAACGCTTTTGGATTGCTAATTCATTTATTTTAATAGGATTCATAGTAGGAGATACTTGAAAGCTAAACACATCCTAAAAGGGGGGGGAAGGTTTTAGAAAAAAAGAAGCAACTTTATAATTCATGCTGGGAAAAAAAAAATCACACTTTATATTTGTACTTATTATAATATTATACAGGCATACATGATATTTACATGATATGAAATCCTTTATATTTGATACTACTGGAAACTTTCCTATTTATTAAATATAAGTAAGTTCCTTTCAATTTTATTCTGCTAAACTGCAAGCCAACTTACACTATACAGAGTGCCACAGCTCCCACAGGTGAAATTAATATTCAACTAAAGTCTATCATCAGGTAGTTCATCATATGCATTTCCCAATGAATCTATTTCTTTAGGTAAGTTACAAAAAAACTGTACCTGAAGAAATTATATATTCTCACTGTTAGGAAGAAATCTATACATTATACTAACTGAAACATAAATGAACAATTCTGTCCAATTTTATAAACATATAAAAAGAACAGAAAACTTACTTAGAAATGAAATAGTTATTTTGGAATAGTATTAAATCTGTTCATCATTAATCCCAAAGGTACAGGTATTAAAGATACTTAACACATAGATTATTTCCTTTATAGCAAGTAATTTCTCTTCATAGACCATATACCAAAGATTAAAAAATGCTGACTATACGTCCCCCTACTGCTACACTGGACAACTGTGGTTGTTATTAAATGTTTTATATTGGCCTGAAGCTGACTTTGCAGCATGTTTCACTAATTATCTACCTCTTCCTTTCAAACAAATTATCTCAAATTTGAACTTTGTTTTTTGTCTTTTTTTTTTTTAAGATTTACTTATTTATGCATACAGAACTGGGGTACAAGTCAGAGTGTGCAGGGGCAGTGAGAGGATTCACCAGAGACATAGAGCAGAACACGCACACTGACAAAGTACAGTGCTGAGGGGAGCAGTGGGTGAGACAGGAGATGTCTGCCGCACCGTGTGGTCACCTCGGGGCTGGGGATCAAGCTCTCCCTGAAGCGACAGCGACCCACTTGCAGTTTTGTGCTTCAACTCATTGTGCCACCAGGAAGGGTCAAATTTGAACTTTTTAAGCTAAACTTACTGGATATTCCAATCTATTTTCTCCAGGATTTTTACTATTTTTCTCTTGTATTTTCCATGTATGTTTATACCACAGGCATCAAAGCCCACAAGCTAAAACCTACAAACTCATTTGAAAAGTCATATAACTCTCTTTTCCTTCCCTATTTCACTTCCCAGTAAAATGCCAATGATCTTGGATCTATCTTAATAGGTTGCCAATCAGTCATCTTCTATCTCCATGACTATTCTTCTGCTTCAGTGAATATCTCTGCCCAAAAAACAATGGTATTTATTTTATTTCCCTTTCTCTGGTACTATCCATTTAGTTTAGCAAATAGTTTATCTAGATAAAGAAAATCTCAGATATACACTTTCTAACATGAAACACATGATTATACTGTTCTCAAGCAATGCTACCCGACAGAACTTCCTTAAATAACGGAAATATTTTATTCTTAGCTGTCTAACATAGTAGCCACTGCCCACAAGTGACATAACTCAATATGTAGCTAGCATGAAGAATTTTTAATTAATTTTAATTTAATATTAAATATACACAAGTAGTTAGTAGTTGCTGTACTAAACAGCACAGTTGAGTATTACAGTGAAATTTCCTTAATATTTCATAACATTATTCTGAGATTCCTATTACTCTACTTCACACAAACTCTTCCAAAATACAAAACTAGAAGATACTCTCATCAGATAGCAGGTAACTACAGAGAGCACAGAGAACAGAACTGGACAGACACTAGCATTATTAATAATCAGAGAAAAAAGTGTAGTTTATGTTTTAAGAATTAAAAGCAGCTTGAAATATTAATAAGATACCACAATATCTGAATATCAAAAAGAATGCCAAGGAATAAAATGTGTTAAGAGAAATTTAAAATTCAATGAAAAAGAAAAAAATTAGCGGACGTGGAAAAACCAAATTTTCAAAATACAACTGGCAAGAATACAAATTTGAAAAACTGACAATGAATTAAAATTAATCATACATATACACCTACAGCCTGCAATTCTCTTTCTAGTTATCTACCAACAAAAAATACATAAATTAGCATTATCCCAGGCAACGCAATGGTGAACCTGATAGAGTATGAGTGTTTATGCACATGTACACAGTAGACCCTCCTTATCCTGGGTTTTATTTTCCATGGTTTCAGTTACCTCAAATGAACACACAATGAAGAATTTTCAGATAGAAACTACATTCACATAACTTTTATTATGGCATATTCTTATAATTGTTATTATTGTTATTGCTAGCTTCCTACTTTGCCTAATTTATGCATTCAACATTATCATCTGTACCTACTGTATCTAAAGAATTCAATGCTTCCAGTCTCAGTACTATCCCTCCACTAGGGGTCCTGGAACATATCCCCTATATATGGAAAAGAAGGTACTGTGCTATGCATACTTGACATGTGAAATCGAAGAAAATTTGAACATTGAGTAGAATTTGACGATAAAAAACAAAACAGAAAAATCAAAAGTCTGAAAAACAAAAATGACATTAGGAAATCTCATTTGCAGCAGTACATTACAAGATCACTGTATATAACATTAAGAACTACATATCAATCAGAAAAGTACTAGCATCAAAAAAGCAAACAACAGAAATATAAATGTTTCAAAGAAATTCATGCTCATCATGAATAGAAGACTATAACATGAATGTAAGTTAATAGTTTAAGGAAGATGTAAGTTAAAATGTAAACGGATACACATTTATACAATGGAATTATATACAGTACCAAGTATTCCAATCTTTTCTCCAAAGGTCTCTCTTAATGCCTTGATAATTCAATTCATGTCTTCTCACAAAAAACTATCGGAGGTACTTATCACCCTTGTAACTGTCTCTATATAAACTGATAGCTGATCAGTTTATATACTTGATCAGACTTGATCAGAACTCAAACTGATTATTCTGTATTTCAAGCAGTTTTCAACAATACTTTCAAATACTTCATGAAATACTACAACTTGTGTAAAATTTATCATTTTCCTGGGTTACATTATTCCATGCTCACTAATAGCTATAAATATGTATATATAGCCAACAAAGATACTGTATATATTTGTGGGGACATATTTCTTTTTTATTAATTAAACTTTTTCCTTACATCATTGTAGTCCCCACAGTTCCCCCACCACCTAGTCACCATGAGCCATCATATATTCCCATTTTGCCCCCTTCCCAGTTCTATGGTCAGCTTCTAGTTTTGACCTTTTACTTGATTTCTTTATTTTGTGGGAACAGATCCTTGTATTCAGCAAGGAGAGACACAATTCACTACTAATTATGTCTATACAATGACTACAAAGGCAAGTAAATGTTCTTCATAGTTTACATGCTTCACTTTCCCTCATGCTTCTCCCCATGCCTCTGATAAGAGTCTCAGGGACTCTCCCCAAAACATACTCTTGATCTGCTTGATTCCCTTTATCCTTCACTCCCCCTTCTCCAACTGTCCTCCCTCCTCCCACAAATATAGGTGACTACTACATATCATATGTGCCCTCCTTTTATGGATAGAATTAGTTTAAATAGCTTATTCTGGCAAAGAGGACAAAAATATCCAAATAGGTTTAAAATTGCTATTTGAGTTTATTGATATCCCTAGAATTAAAAAGAATGCACCTATTATCTAACCATTGGGACAATTATTATCTGTAAAAGTGATACTGGACAGTTCCATAATTATATTTATATTGCTTCTTAAGAGCCATGTTGTATAGCAGGCTGATACTCATTATATGGTCATCTAAAATGTTGCATGTTTCTCACAGAAATTGCTGTCTACCAATCCTAGAAAATAATCTTTAACCTAAATGAATACCCAGTTACACTGCTTCTCACTATTAGCTTAGTGGTTCCACATGCTATTCCCAATGTTAGTGGTCAGCTGTGATGGTAAAATGGTCAAATCAGTATTTTATAGAAGTAGAAAGGGCAAAAGAAAAATGTATGAGTTATGAACCAGGCTGCCAACTGTCCTTTATCATCAGATTCTATTATTACTAGTATTTGTGAGAGTAAAATCTTTACTCACTTATAAAAAAACATTGGCAATAAATTATGCTTTGGGGTTTTTAAATGGTCTTACTTGCCTAAGTAAAAAGCTACAAAATTTCATTTAGCTTCTCAAAACTATAAATTGTCAAAAAGCCTATGAACTTTTAAATTATATTTATTTATATTTATAAATATCTTATTTATTTATTTATGCATACAGAACTGGGGTACAGGTCAGAGGTGCAGGGGCAGTGAGACGATTCACCAGAGATAGAGTGGGGAGCAAAACAGGCAAATCAGTGAAGTACACTGCTGAGGGGAGCAGCGGGCGGGTCAGGAGAGGTCTGCCAAGCCATGTGGGTCACCTCCGGGTCAGGGATCAAACTCATGCGGAAGTGGCTTTAACTTCTTAGTGCTGTGCTTTAACCTGCTGTGCCAACAGGGTGGGCCCTATTTTTCTTTATTTTGTATATATTTTACATCATTGTTACTTTTTTTTTTTTTCCTCTTCAGGTATAGTTCCCACAGAATTTCCACCACCAATTCATAAGTGAACCATCACTATAGTCCCTTGTGTTCTCCCTGCTCTTGCTTTGGTCTCTTTCCCTACCCCTCTCCTGCAGAATGTCTCTGACTTTTAGTTGTTTCTTCATAATTGTTTTGTTGTGTTTCTTGTGTTTTTTTCCCCTGGTCCCTCATTTGACTCCCCTATATTCCCCCTATAAGTGAAATCATCCTTTTGGTTAACTCCTGAGAAAATAGTTAGACAAAAAGAAGACAAGAGAGAGAGATGACAGCTATACTTCAATTACCTGAATACTTAGTATGTAAGTTGTAAAGATGTTTGAATGAATATCTATCCCAAACAGAGAGGTACAACCAGATGGGCAGAAGTCATAAAGGCTATTTTGAACATTAAAAAAATGTTTTAATTCAAAATTTAAATATGTGCCTGCTCACAGTGTAAAGAATGCTACTTCAGAAGGCAGGGTGCTCCTTCGGTCAAGGGCACAGGATATAACAACAGTGTAAAGAATAAAGTAAAGAGTCTGACTAAGAGAACTCTTTCTTTCATACTGAAATTCTATGACTATAATCCAGTAAGATTTCACAATTCATCCATGTCTTTTTTGTCTTCAAAGCCTCCTTCAGGTATACTATCAGAATGATGATTATATTAAAATCTATGTGAATATCAATAGTAGAGATATGACCCATAAGGAACAAATTCAAACTGACCCAGATGAGTAAATTACCTGGAATCATTCAACAGTAAAATTTCCTGTACTATTTCTTTTTATGCTACAGAATTGCCTTAATAGTATTTAAATTTTATCTTGACACTTTATGATATCCAAATCTTGGCTTAAACTGAACTTGAGTCCCAACATACCTAGGAATAGACAAGCTTCCTTTACAAGATACCAGAAAGCAGGACTTTTTCCACATTTGTCCTAATAAATACTTAATAACATGTTGTTGCAAAGGAGGCAAACTGGATAAAACCAGAAATACCTGGATAAAACCGTGGCTTTACCAATGACCTGCTATGAGGCCTGGCTCAAAAAAAAATAAAACTTCTTTCCCTCTCAATTTATTCACTGTAAAAATGGGGATAAAATAAAAACTCTGTATAAAGTTGTTGTGGGAGATTGAAAATATATAAAAAATACATTTCATAGTTCCTGGCATAATATAGGTGCTCAAAAAAGAATGTCTACAGATAAGAGGTTATAGTCTCTGTTGTTATTAGAATAAGAAACAAATGTCCTTGAACTGCTACCCTACTTCTAAAGCAAGACCCTAAATAATAAAATGAGATACAAATATAGTAGCATAATCTAATTTGTAGAGCTATGAAGTCAGATGCAGATTAACTGTATGCTCACTCATTATTATAATGCTCAATTTCACAACAGCAATGAATTAACATAATAACAGAACTCAAGTAAAAATAGGAAAGAGACCTTTTGATCAAATCTTTCATTTTGAGAGAAAAATCGCAGGTAGGTGGAAAGAGTACTATATGTACATTCAAGAACAATGTCTAAACCTGGGCTGGGAAACCTTTTTTAACAAGTCCAAACTTTGCTGTAAGCAAATGGCTCTCTGTCTGTATTCTTTCTTTTATAACTGTCTCTTTAAAATGCTTTGAGTTTTTCACATCCCTTTAAAAATATAAAAAACATCCAAGAACAGTGCAGTGTAAGGACCCCAAACTAGACTACCCCGCCACCACATTAAAACATCATACAAATGCAAATTAAATGTCAATTTACATTGTTAAAACAAAATACTAAATTTATTTCCTTTTTAAACCTAAAAATATCCTTTGTAATAGTGTTTATTAGGGGAACAAGGGCACCATCAAACATAGAAGTCACAGTCATGTAAAATTCATAATTTTCTCACTATTTACTATAAGAGCATAAATACTACCTGGCAATTTTCAAAGTGAACAGCCACAATGAGCTTTCCTCCATAAAGTTTATCTTCTAAATTTTCAAGAATGGATGTTTCATGCTCTGGTGGATATGTCTGCTTTAGCCAATCTATCCAAGACAATCCAACAAGGGACTGAATCTTTTCCTCACTGAATTTGCGCATTTTTATTCGGAATTCGTTCACTTCAGGATCCTTCAAGGCATCAAATTCATGCAGACCTAAATATATTTTAAAGAAATGATAATAAAAGAGAGTACAAAATACAATCAATAAAAAGATGAATTTAGATTAATTGCTTTTTATTAAACAAAACTGCATAGGAAGATAGAAATTCTTGATACTTACATTTAATTTTATGATACATTAATTTTATGATATAAATAACAAAAGGATAGCCAGCTTAAGTAACAAATTAGATGTCTAAAGAATAAAAACTTGAAACTGCTTAAAGAAATTGCTGGTAATCATATTTATAAAGGTAATGACAAATTCACAATACACATCTTATTGCCAGCCACAAATGAAAGATGCAATTTTTCTTTATCTTTATAAAAAAATATCACAGGACCTCTCTGGGGTCTAGAGGTTAAGTATCAGCTCAATCACCACTACAACCTGAGTTTAATTCCCCATCAGAGAGCTGACCCACATTAGTTTAGCAGACCTCAACTATCTCACCTACTGCTCCCCTTTCTATCAGTGTATTTCAACAGACCTGCCTGTTCTGCTCCCCATTCTGTCTCTGGTGAACCCTCCTAACCCATCCTCCCTGTACCTCTGGCATATACCCAAGTTCTTCTATGTATAAGTGACATAAATCTTTTTAAAAAAAATCACACTTAAAATATCAGGGAAGTACTGAAAACTCTCCAAGTATTGTATAAGGAGAGAGACTATTAAACACTGAAATTAGTATGAGCCTAAACGCATGTAATTACCTAGAACTCAGTATACTTAACATTTTATAATTTTCATTCAGTTCACCATAATTTCCCAAAAAGTTATAGGATATGAACTACTCAAAAATCCCATAAACATATTCTTTGTTGTATTCAACAAAAAAATCCTTCCCGTTTTTCAGTATAAAACTTTCTCATTGCCCTGCCTGTCTTTGAATCACTGCCAAATACAAATTCCTTTACTAAAAAGCAAGCTCTGAATAATCTGCTCCCACAGGGGTTGTCTTTGTTTATTTCCATGAACTTATGGAAATAATTGCACAACTAACTTGCTTTCAGTACACTGTTGTTCTGTTTATAATAATTAAGATACTGGAAATAACTAAAAAACTAAGACCCAGATTTAGCAAGATACATCCAAATACTATAAAACAGTGGTATAAGTATAAATTACATCTATATATTGCTGTGTTTAAAGTTCCAGGTTTATTATATTTTAAAAGCAGGGCCAGAATGGGTCTTCTAGGGCTCTTTATATGCATATTTAAGAAAGAAGAACATAAAGGGCCTTCCCTGGTGGTACAACGGTTGTGTGAAAGGATTCACCAGAGACAGAGCAGAGAACAAGAACAGAGGGGCACTGCTGAACGGAGCACCTTGGAGACAGGAGCGGTCTGCTGTGCCATGTGGGCCATCCCGCCCTGGCCAAGGATGGGGGACTGAACTCACACTTCAGAGGCTGTGGACAGCCTCACAGTGCTGCTTTCATTCCCTGCACCACCAGGGAGGCCCCAAGATTTCAATATTAACAGCATTTCTAGTGTTGAAGAGGGAAGCACAAGGAGGCAAGCTGTTAGTTTTGTTACATAAATGCCATAATTTGAGTTTCTTCTATTTGAATATATACAAATCAACTACTTATCTAAGCAGTAAACTTACCTGCACTGTCCATTTACATTTATTATTTCAAAAAATAAACAGTTGAATCAATGTTTGGTATTAAGTGTGGACAAATAGAAATGTTTAAATTAGATTATTAGATATTACAGGTAAGGAAAGAGAAATGCACCCAGTAATGTACAGATTAACAAACATCAAGACTCTCCCTCCATTCAGCTACTAAAAGTCATGTCTATTTCACTTTCTAAATATATCCCAGCTCCATTAACTCCTCCAAATTACTGCAGCTATTAACTTAATCCTGGTCATCATCAGCCCTCCCTAAGATTATTACATCAATTTTCACTAATCTATACTCCCAGTCATAACCCTGAAGCCCATTCTCTGTTCTTCAACTTAAATAATCCTTCCAAAATGCAGTTCTGATCAAGGTATTCCTCTATTTAAACCCCTTCTAAGCTTCCCAAGTTGTTAAGAGTAAATTTCTACTTTTTATATGGGCTAGTTAGTTCTGCCTCACTGGTCTCCCTGGTTGTCCCAGCAATACCCTCAAATTATAATCATTCTTTAATTCCTTGAACAGGACATCCTGGACATTCCCTTTGTTTCTTTCTCTTCCAAGTCCTTTCACCTATTCAATAACTTTTAATAGGCTTTGAAGGCTGTTTAGCTATATGACTCCTGAGAACTAATACCTGATTCACCAACTTGATTTAAATGACCCTCCTGGATTTAGAGCAGTTCATATTGTAAGTACCTGTTTACTGATCTAATTCCCCACTAGACAATGAGTTATAAATACCCCAAAACATATTACCCAGGTTCCTTGCTGTAGTACCAATTATAAACATTCAACAAACACTGCTGAACTGCAATTGCCCACTGCTTTGGCAATATTTTTCCTTACTATAAAGGATTCTGTTCACATAACTGTTACAATCAATTGAAAATATAGATTCTTTAATTCAACCCAGACTTGCTGTATCCCAATTTCTTTAAAAACTGATGAAGACTGCATTTAGGACCTTCTACAAAGATCCCTTACTACCAAAATAAGAAATTAGGCTAAATAATTTAATTTTAAATAATTTTTTACATATGCTTTGGTAAAAACATCATAGCAACATTTAAATTTTAAAATAAGTTTAGACTTTACACTCAAATTTAAAGTCTGTTCAGTGATATTAAAATTCTATTGCATAAACAATTTCTTCATATTAAAGATATTAAAATCCTGCACACTATATATTTTTTTAGTTTAGACATTCCAGGGCTTTAGATAAATATGGGGAAATAGGTAGTTTTCAAATACTTGTTTCAGGAATTTGACAAAAAAAACCTTTTGATCAAGAATTACTATGGGTATTTGTAGAAATTAATGCAGGAGTGACATGCCCCTTACGAAAGAGAAAAATACAAGAGTTCTTTGACTATTTAGAATAAACCAAAAACAAAAATCAGACTTAGAATCTTGTAGGTAATTTTAGACCCCCCTCAGGGCAGTTATGTTTGTAAAGGTTCTATTGTTTTCTTTTGAGAGGAGAAGGCAAAAAGCTTTTTCCTGAAATTAAACTGAAATAATTGTTTATTGTTTTCCCAGGAGGCATGACCTCACCAAGTTCTGGTTGTAGTCATCACATATAAATCAGCAAGTGCGAAAAAATAGCTTGTTAGGTATTTGAAGTGAAAATATATTCTGCAATATTAAAAAGTTTACCCAACTCCCCCAAGAAATGGTAACATTTGAAGCTGAATATATCATACACAAGCTTTTCTAGACATGCTGAAGATCTCAAGTACAATTTATAAGTAAGTAGATATTTATAAACCACATAACTTAATATAATAATACAGCTACATCTTCATTGTTCCAATTATAGACAAGCACACTATTTACAAAAAAATTTGTACAAAAAACTTTGATACTGAGTAAAATATGGTGCACTGTTCATAAAAAGAAAAACATAATTCTTACATATAATCACTGTGTTGTGGTAGGGTAAAATCAGAGTTGCCAAATTAAAAAAGGAGTATACCCAGTTCTATTTGAATCTTAGATAAACAATGAGTGGTTATTATTTAGCATAAGTACATTTCATGTAACATTTGGCTCTCCTGTACTTTTATATATTTGCTAAATCTGGTACACATAAAAGTAATTAACAGTAGCTAATGAATTAAAATGTTTAGGATATCAAGACCAGAGGGAGAATGCTGATCTAAGTTTTAAAAAGATGGTAAATCTTGAAAGATACGTACATAACCTTCACAAAAGCTACCTCTACCTTTGTTGTTAACCTACTGGATTATCAAATATTTAATCTTCCTAATCAGTAGATTATGATCTCCTTCCTTCCCAAGGCATAAAATACTCAAAAGTGATTAATTTTAACACACACACATACACACTAAACCACTTGGGAACACATAAAATTATTATGGGTATTTTAAAAAATTAAATAACTATACATTTTTTTTTAATATATTACAACTGGTCTTGTTCCAGATGATAAAACTATAAAGACTTTTTTTTACTAATTTTCCATATATTCTTCACTTCAAACAAAGAAAAACTTTTTCTAATGGAGAATTAAAAACCTATATATATACATATATAAATCTTTGTAATTCCAGAAAAGAGACTTATCTAAGGTGGGATATTAATACACCATTATTAGGGATGTAATATTGAACCCTGAGTTGCTTACAATTACTATAGTAAGAGAGATACTTCTGTTTTTTTATTTTATTACAACTCACTCTAGGTTTAATTTGCAAAAATAAAATGGGTGTAACAGTCCTTTGAGTCACCTCAAAAACAATTTTTTAAAAGATTTATTTATTTATTCAGATAGAACTGGGTGGCCAGAGGTGTAGGCGCAGTGAGAGGATTCACCAGAGGCAGAGTGGGGAGCAGAACAGGCAGATCAACGAAGTATACTGCTGAGGGAAGCAGTGGGCAAGACAGGAGTGGTCTGCCACACCATGTGGGTTACCTCCCTGGCCGGGGATCAAGCTTATGCTGAAGTGGCTGCAGCTAGCTTCACAGTGCAGTGCTTTAATCTGTTGCACCACTAGGGAGAACCAAAAATAATGTAAAGTAAAGATAACTATAACTATGGCATAAAATTTGTCACTAATATGGATAATTTATAGAAACATCAATCACCTAAAGTCTTGGTAGGAATCAAAATGTATATGAATCGTATTAACATTATAGAAGCAGTTCATAAGAAATTGAGGACATAAATCTCAGGAAAAAAAGTCTTAAACTTCCTGAAACAAAGCCAATACTTCGTCAAAACCAATACTTCTATAAAATAAAAATAAGTCACTAGGGAAATAAAAAACAAAAACAAACAAACAAAAACGGAAAAAACATAGCTGCTGGACATGGCAATATCACATCCCTAAAGGAGTTTCTAAACATTCACTTTCATGTCTATACTTAACTCAGGTTGGTAACAATTTACAGACAAGCACTGGTCCACAGATAACATCTTGCAAAGCAGTAACTTATATAACACATGTTCATACATAAACTAATAGAAATGCTAAGCATTCATACTAAGTCTTTTTAAATTACCTTTTCCTATTAGGACTCCAATTTTTGAGTCTAATTTTTCTCCTGGATCACAACTTCTTGTCACTAATTTGAGAACTGGAAGAAAAGGTCTGACATCACACAATCTTCTTGTTTCATCTTCAAGCTCCTCATATACAGCAGTTTGATTCACACATGCAAACATATAGGAGTCAATTTCCATAAGAAGGTTAAACATTGGGTAATTATGAACTTGCTTCCATAACATCTGCAAAGGGAAAAGGCATTTTCTGAAATACTTGCTCAAGTGTACAATGATATATCTATAATGCTCTTTATAGCAAGCATTGTTTGTAAACCTCTAGAACTGAAAAAAAAAGTCAAATGTCTAGATATCGGATTAGCTAAATGAATTATAGAATATTATAAAACTGTGAAAATAAAACTGAAATGCACTATAACATGGAAAGCCATCCAAAACACACTAAAGGCTTTTTTTGTTGTTTAATATGTAATGGCAAAAGAATATATATGCTATTAAACCATTTTTGTAAAATAATATAATGGCTAATGCATATGTATAAACAAATTTATCAAAAGTGGATACATGTGAAGAGTAAATATCAATGGGCTCATCATATTTAGTATTCCTGTGAATGGTTTCTAATCAGAAATAGAAAATTTAAGACATGTATCATGAATCCTATGAAAATTTATGTTTTGGGGGGGGGCCATGGCAGGCATATTTCTATTCATCAGGAGTATCTTTTTTTTTTTTTTAACTGACATTGCTCTGTCACCGAAAGAGATAAACTCTCATCATCTCTCCCCCATGTCTCCTGCATAATGCATCATATAAAAGATGACCATAGAACTGTAAAGTGGAATTACATATATAACAGTAGTCAGTACAAAAAGCAGGAGCTGAAGATAACAAACCTGGGTTAAAATTTTGGGCAATCTTCATATTCATTACATAATAAAAGAAGAAAATAGTGCTAGTCAACAAAAGAAAAATAAGTAATCTGGACTTTATCAAAATTAAAAACTTTGTTACATTTAAGAACACTATCAAGAGAGTTGAAAAAACAACCAATAGAATGAGGAAAAATATTCTCAAAACATTTTTGATTAAAGTAATATTCAGCATACTTAGGCCTCCTTGACTTGTCAAAAAAGAATGACTCTCGATGCAAAGTAAACTCAAATATGGGCAATCATCTTGAATAGACAATTCTACAAATAGTCACTAAGAACATGAAAATATAATAGGCACCATTAGTCATCAGAGAAATGCAAATAAAACCTACAATGATACACTACTTTTATGCCACAAGGATACCATTTAATGAAAAATCATAAACACTGGCTAGGATGGAGTGAAATTACAACACTTGTTCATGGCTGGTTGGAATATAAAATGTTATAGTCACTGTCAAAAAGTGTGGCAGTTTTTGTAAAAAAGTTAAAACAGATTACCATATGATTCAATAATTCCACTTCTGAGTATATGCCAAAAATCTGGGATTAAAATAAATTATCTGTACAATATTGCTCTTAGCAACATTACTAACAGTAGACAAAAGATAGGTACAATGAAAATGTACACATAAAAATAAAATACTGTATATCCCACAGTTGAGTATTATTCTCTCTTGCAAAAGAATAAAATGTGAGTACATATTACAACATGGATGAATTTCAAAAATATTATGCTAAGGAAAATAAACCAGACACAAAGGGGTAACTATTATATTATTCCACTTATGTGAGCTACCTAAAACAGACAAATGCATAGAGACAGAAACTAAAATACAGATTACCAGAGACTGTAGGAAGTTAAAACAGAATTTGCCTAAATGATGGGAAGTATTGTTTATAGAGGTATACAGAAACATCCACAAGAATCTAAATCTTTTAAAAATATTCTCTTTACATGTGGGATGCCTAAAACAATATATACTCTTTCTGTCTCCTCCCACCCTTGTCCCTTTCCCTCACTAACCAAACCCCAACTTCAGGGATCAAGCAGTTTTAGAATTCTCATCTCTCTCTAAAGAAGAACCTTGGGAAAGAATAAAGAGGTTGTTCAAAATCATGAGTTTTTAAAAAGGTTTGTCAAGGTTTAAAACAGCTTTTTCTTAAAACTATCATAATGCTCAATTGACTATTTTTTTCACTATCTGGAAACATTGAAGAGAAAGTTTACAAAATAATAACTCCTCCAAGTCACCATGAATAATAGTGGGGGATAGGAAGGAAAGAAGAGGATGAAAGGAAAGAAGAGATAACCAAACAAAAGTCACAACAATAAAAGTATGAGAAACAAACATAGTAATTACAAAGATTTTTAACTAAAAAAAAAAAAAAAAAAAAAACAACTTTTGACAGTGTCAGCTTCTTGTTAATAATCTGAATGGATACTTCAAACTAGCTATATAGGCTAATTTTTTAATTCAGGTATTATATGTAGATTTAAAATGAAAGAATGAGCCCACAAAAGACAAAGCATATAATCTTTAAAATGTAATAACCTAAGGTTAAACTTTCCTCAATCATATGACTTAAATTTAATAAAATTTTAAAATAACAAAAACATTTGCCTCTAAGGGACAAATAAGAAAGCCATATTTATAGAAATTCCATTTATCAACATACCTGTTTAATAAAAGAAATGGTAGCTTCCCGAGGTACCTCCAACTGAATATAAATCCCAGTGGGCAAAAGGAAATCCACAGGTATGGAGCCATCAGATGCGATCTGTGAATCCACTGCCCAGATGTCAAGGATGTCTGCCATAGCAGGAGGCATTATGAAATTGAGGCACATTCATAACCAAGGGGCCCTAAAAACCAGTAAGGAAAACTTATTAGTCAAATTGTATACTGAAATATGATAAAATCTACCAATCTATAATGAGTCCTTGGATTGCAATACAGCTAGTAATGTGCCAAGAGGTTAATTAAACAAGAGTAAATTACTGAATTATACTTTGATTATCACTACATAAATAGTATACTCCATATTCTAATGCAAATTCCACACAAGTAGATCACAAGTGAAAGTGAAGTTACAACCACTCATGTGAACATTACACTAATACCAAAACCACATAAAGGGAATGTATAAAAAGGAAACCACAGACCAATCTCCCTTATGAACACAAATGCAAAAATCCTCAATAAGATCTTAGCAAACAGAATCCAACAATGGATCAAAAGGGTTATACACCATGACCTAATGGGGTTTATCCCAAGGATACAAGGATGGTTCAATGTCTGAAATCAATTAATGTAATTTACCACATCAACAATAATAACCATGTGATGATATCAAGACACTGAGAAAGCACTTGATTAAGGTCCAATATCCATGCATAAGACCTCAAAAAAACTCAGTATAAAAGGAACATATCTTAACATAATGACAAACTCACAGCTAATATCGTTCTTTTTTTTTTCCACTTTGTGTAGAACTGAGGTGTAAACCAGAGATATTGGGGGGGGGAGGGGGTGGTAGGAATCACCAGAAATGAAGCGGGAAGCAGAACAGATCAATCTACTAAAATGCACCCAGAGGAGGAGCAGTGGGTAAGCTGTCTGCATATGTGGGTTAGCTCTCTGGCAGGGTATCGAACTCAAGTCATAGAAGTGACAGCATCGATGATATGGGAAATTTATGATACAGGAATGATAAAGATGTCCACTGCTTTCAATATAGTAGTACAATATAGTAGTAAAAGTTGTAGCTAAAGCAATTAGGTAAGAGAAAGACATACAAGAAATATAAATAGGGAAAGAAGTAAGACTATCATTATTTGCATAATGTTTAAAACAGGGAAAACCCTACAAAATCCACACCAAAACTAACTGAAACAACAAACCAGTTTAGTAAACTAGATTACAATATTAGTACACAAAATTCAGTAGTCTTCCTCTATGCGATCAAATTTGAAGATGAAGAAATTAAGAAAACCATCCCATTTACAATTATGCCCAATACCTTAAACACCTGGGAATAAACCTAACATAGGTCTGCGAACGATCTATACAAGGAAAACTACAGAATGCTCTTAAAAGAAATAGAAGACACAAAGAAATGGAAAATTATTCTCTGCTCATGAATTGGAAGAATTCACATTATCAAAAATGGTCATCTACCAAAAGCAATTTACAGATTCTGTGCAATTCCAATAAAAGTCTCAATGGCACTCATTAAAGAAATGGAAGAGATATTGTTGAAATTCACATGGAATCACAAAAAAAAAAAAAAAAAAAACACCAAACCCGAATAGAAAAAGCTGTACTGACTAAAAGGGGGGAAATGGCAGCACTAGACTCCCAGACTTCAAACAACACTACAAAGCCATTATAACAAAACAGCATGGTATTAAATAAAACCACACAGAGACCAACAGAATTGAACTGAAAGCCCAGAAATAACATCACACACACATGGTCAACTAATCTATAGTAAAGGAGAAAACATACACTGGAACAAGGAAAGCATCTTCAATAAATGGTGTGACATACACTGGAACAAGGAAAGACTCTTCGATAAATGGTGTTGAAAAAAAAGTGACTGTACATGCAAAAGAATGAAACTGGACTACTATTATCTCACACCACGTATAAAAATCAACTTGAAATTGTAACGGGGTGGTCCTTAGGCAAAGGGGAAATTCCAGGTTCCCTGCCCCACCCAGAAGGAGGGTGTTGCTGAGGAGAGAAAAAGCAGAGGAGAAAAGAATCTGAGGAGTAATGAAGCAGGATCAAGAGCCTGAAGGAGACCTGAGGAAGTTACATGGAGCAAAAGCATGTGAAGAAACCGTGTTTATTTCTTGGCCCTGGACTAGTTGAAAGAGGTGTGGGTGAGAGACCTGGGGGGAAGTTGACTGTGGCAGTGTTTATATTGACTTTGATTTTGCTCTTTTCCTCCCAGACTTGTGTGGCCATTTCTGACCCTTTTCCATGGGTCCCAGCCAGAAGGTGCTTTAGTCTTGTGGTGGGCTTTCAGGCCTTGCTTTCGGCCAATCCCTTTTGGGTTGACTTTTGCCCACGAGGGGATGGGTAACTTCAGGTGTTTGCTTTAGAAATTATATTCTTTGCCTTCTGTATTGTATACTCACTGTATTAAAGTTCCTTTTCATTAAAGTCTTATATGTTTTGTCTTGATGCAGCAGATGGCAGAACCTACTAAGAGAAGGCAGGTTTGGGGGTTCAGTGGTGCCCCTCTCTCCCTGCCCTGTAACAAAAGGACAAAAGGCTTGAATATTAAGACCTGACATCATTAAATATATAGAAGAGAACATAGGAAAAATACTCCATTACATAAACCTCAGAAACATCTTTGAACTGTTCTCCAGAAGCAAGGAAAATAAAGATCAACAGCTGGGATTACCTCAAACTAAAAAATTTCTGTACAGCAAGAAACACCATAATGAAGAGACATCTTACTGAACGGGGAAAATATCTGCACACCATATAATGGATGAGACCAATACCAAAGATCTACAAAGAGTTAGCACAGTATTAACAGCAAAATATCCAGTCAAAAAATGCTCAGATCAACTAAAAAAGGCCTTTCTGGAAAGAAGAAATGCAAATGACCAATGAGCTTATGGAAAAGTGTTCAACATCACCCATTAGCATGCAAATGAAAATGAGATACCACCTCACATCTAAGAGAATGGCCCCAATTTAAAAATCAGGAAACAAATGCTGGAGAGGATATGGAGAAAAAGGAACCCTTTTCATAGATGGAGGGCATGTAAATTGGCCCAGCCAACAAGGAAAGCTATGTGGCCATTCCTCAAAACACTAAAAATGTATCTACCATATGATCCAGTGATTCCATTCCTAGTAATCTATCCAAAGAACTCAGAAGCACTAATTCAAAAGGAAGCCTGGATTCCCATGTTTACTGCAGCACTATTTACAATGACAAAAATATGGAAACAACCAAATGTTCCAGAACAGGCAAAAGGATCAAAAGACTGTGGTATATTTGCAGTGGACTATTACTCAGCATCAAAAAGGACAAACTAATGTCATTTGCAGCAACATGAATAAAGCTGGAAGGGGTATGCTATTTAAAATAAGTCAGAAAAGAAAAAAATCAGTTTATCTTATATGCAGAATATAGAGAAACCAAACAAGGTCAACAACAAGACAAAAATTAGCAAACTGATCATAGATCTGAGGCATACAACAAGGTGGAGTGGGGAAGAGTTTCAAAACAGGAGAGGGAAGAACGCAGGGAATATGGTGATGGTTCACGGGGTGATATGGTAGCAGGATAACTATGGGGTGTACATTTAAGGGGGAAAACCAACTGCTGAACAAAATGAACAATGCAAAAAAATTTTAACTGAAAGTAATGGAAAAAAAAACCATACACACACTCAAAAGGTGATTGTTTTCAGACTTTACTAAAATGATGTTGGTTTCTTTGCTGGAGTTTTTCCTCTATAAACACCCAAAAAGATCTTTCATAAATAATTTTCTGTCAATCTTACAGAAGAAAAAAATGGTCATATATAGTGCTATGATCCCATTCCCTAAGTATGAAAAAGTCCAAATCTCAGGGGGCCTCCCCGGTGGTGAAGGGTTAAGTCTCAGCACTATAAAGCTATCACCAGCCACTGCACATGAGTTCAATCCCCAGCTAAGGGGCTGCCCCACATGGCACAGCAGACCTCTCCTGTCTTGCCCACTGCACCCCTCAGCAGTGTATTTCAGTGGATCTGCCTGTTCTGCTCTCCACTCTGTCCCTGATAAATCCTCTCACTCCTCAAATAAAATAAAAAAAGAATATAATCTTGGAATCAGGGTGAAGATTGAGGCAGCTAATATAAATCTGACACACTGTAGCCTCTAATAAATAATAACTCTGCTACAGTTCTGAACATGCTGGCCTTTACTGATTCCTCCAGCATCTTATGGGTATATAAGATCTATCACACTGACACTATCATACATGTTCTGAATCTTTCAGATGTATGAGCCTTATTTTCACATATTTCAAAGTGTGATAAAAGGCCATGGTATCATAGTCTTAACAGCTTAGTTGTGAGACCTGCTTCCTGTTTTTTGAAAAAACCTTTAGCAAATTATGTATCTTTACCCTACTTTAAGTTATCTTATTTTTTGTTAAATATTTTATCTATTGATACAAACAGAACTGGGGTACAGGCCTGAGATGCAAGGACCATGAGAGAATTCACCAGAGATAGAGTAAGGAGCAGAAGAGACAGATCTACTGAAATACACTGCTGAGGGGGGCAGTGGCTGTCAGGAGAGATCTGCTGCACTATGTGGATCACCCCCATGGCCTGGGATCAAACTCACACTTGAAGCTGACACAGCCAACTTTGCAGTGTTGAGCTTCAACCCACTGTGCTACCAGGGAGAGCCCAGTTCTCTTATTTTTGAAATAAGAAAAACAACTACCTCATAGCGTACCCATGAAACTTGACCAGAAGAATGCATGGAACATAGTAAGTACAACAGAAGCATTTTCTGCGATTTCTTTTTTTAATTGAATTACTGTAGTTCTTTTACTTTTTACTTTTAACTGCTTTTATTCCCCTGAAAGTTATTATTACATCGTCCACTGACTAATTGCTTAATGAACTAAGAAAATGTTACCCTTACTCCTACAATTAAAAAATATCATAGTACAATATAATATATAACTAAAGATAAGGATTTACTATGTTGTCAACATTCTATTACGTTATTTATATCTTTGCTACATTTTATCCACACTATCACTCTGATAATACCACTAATCCTCGAAGAAGCACCTGAGACTAAAAGAAATTGAGCTCTGATGGCCAATAAA